GAGTATTAATTTACTAACGTTACTGTCAAAAAAATTATTTTTCTTTTTTTCTTTTTATTACTACTAAATAAAATAAATCAAATTGTGATTTTATGCAGATATAGAAAAAATTAATACTAATTCCGTATTACAATAATTTATATACATATATTTTTTTCCACCAAGAACGTTTTAGAAAACTCTTGGACCCTCGAATTTTTAGTATCCTACTTTTGCGCAATTCACAGGGTTCAACAAGCAATCGATATTTCACGATCAAGGGTGTAGTACTATTTGTAGTAGCGGGTTATTATATCAGCAATAGTGTCTTTCCCCATGATAAGTTCAAATTCCTTATTGTTCTATAATTTTGATATAATCAACATGTTCTTTTTCTTTTATTTATATATAGATATAGCTTGACCACAGTTTTGCATAAAAAGAAAGATCTTGATAAGGATAAAAAGACCCTAATTAAATTAAAATCCTTTCTTTGGCCCAATTTTCGATTAGAAGATTTAGCTTGTATGAATCGCTATGGGTTTAATACTACTAACGGAAATCATTTCAGTATGATAAGAATACATATGTATACGCGATTTCAAATTCGTCAATACCTCGGTGTAGGTCCGGGATAATCCTTTATTCCATAGTCCTGGGGCTATTTACAACTAGCCAATTCAGAATTTTCAGATGTACTAACAAGTGCATCTTTGATGCAGTCATCGATTCNCCCGAGAGTTCACAATTACCGCGAGCAAACATATTAATTTAATGACTTAATGATATGATGAGGAACGCTTTTTTGGTATTATTTTTGAACCAGTCCAACATTAGACTAAAGACTTATTAATTTACCATATTTTTAATTTATTAATATATATAGTTCTTACTTTGTAGACTTTTATGTTATGAATAAAAAATATAATTAGCCATGTAAAATTTTTTAAGTATACAATGGTTAAAGCATTTTCTTGCATTTAACTTTAACTTCTATTGGAAAAACATCTTAAGTACAAATAAAACAGACATCGTAATAATAATTTGAGCTAAGATCAAAACGACGTTGTTTTGAAAAATCAATTAAAATATATAGATATTTAATTATGTAAATTTTAAATCACCCAAAAAAGGTTCGACATATCATACATGTCAGCAATTTTTCGGTTGTGCGGGAATTGACCATATTTTTAAACATCAAGTAGTAAATTCAAATTTATAGGTAGTTCATGTGGTTTTTGGCATTGTTCATGTATGAATAAATAGGCGTTGCTTAGTTCATGGGGGAATAGGCTATTTTTGCTGGTTAGGTCACATGTAGTAATGTACAAGTACCTTTTTCATATAACAAATTCCCTCCATACGCAAGAAGTGAGCATTACGGTTTTTGAAATGGTCAAGAGGAATAGCACGGCATCTTTGTGTTATTTCTTGTATGCTTTGTTTCTCTTTGTCGCATTTGCAATCATTCTATTTCTATTATTAGTCATCTGTGTCTCTTTTCACAATTGCAATCATATCATGTTAACCAAGCTACGTATAAGCTAGACAATTGTTTTAGCATGTTCGGTATATTCAAACTTCTCAACACCTTTCATACACAAAACTTGTAGGGTTTTGAATTTGATGGCATCGATACCGGTAAATCAGTGAGCAACTTATATAGAGCCTGACAAAGAAACTGCATCTAGGTTTGATTGGTATCGTACGTGTTGTTTAGCATCAAGAAAGAAGTCAAGGCAAAAGAAATGCGAAAGACGTGGGAGAAATAGAATTCAGTACACTAATAATCAAATAGAATGAGAAAGGAAAGCCACAAAAAGATCTCCAAACAAAATATCCTGATCTCCCTCCATCTCAACTCTCAATAGTATCCTCTCCAAAAGATGATAATAATCCCAAAAGAATTCAGTCCCCAAAGGTAATAACAATGGAACAAACAAAGACGACATAAAAATAAATGCAAGGAACACCGTGCTAAATAAAGACTCTCTGCTTAGATCATCAACCAGACGAGAACGGATCCAAGTACCAAGCTCGAAACTGTCTTGCTTGCTCCATTCTGCAAAAAAACGTAAAACATTTTGTATAAGCATTTCATTTCAGATCAAAAACAGAAGCATCCCTGTCGGCTGTCGTACTTTATTTCAAAATTGGGACTTTAGGACATATTCTAAAATATAGGGGTTTCCTTAGGAAATATTCTAAAAGATAGGGGTCCTAACTGTAAAATAATCTTCGACAGCAGATCTTGAAGAATCCTGCTTTGGAGTTTGGACTAATTTTATGATTATTAAACTCTAATAAAGTTTCGTAGATCTACTTTAAGAAAAGAAAAGAAAACAATAGATCTATTTACAAATTAGTAAATATTAATGGTTCGGACATATTGCCACGTGGAAGTGATTTATTGTTTAACGTGAAGACTGACAAATTCACGTGACTCCTGCACCCCACGCGCCACGGCTCGAGAATGGAAGATCTCGAGACAGATGCAGCAGCAACGGTCCAAAAATCGGCAAAACCTATACGGCGCACATTAGCCCAGGCTAGCATTCTCTTCCTAAATTGCGCTAATCACGTTTTCTAAACTCAAGGGGTCAAGATCTAATCAGTGATTATTATCCATTGTAGCCAAATTAACGAGTTTCAAAGTAAAAAAATCTCAGATCTGAAACACAATGTACAAGATCTAAGTACAAGAGAAGTGGAGTAAGGAAGAAATGTTACGGACCTGGTCATTCGAATCAGTAGAAGGCCCCGGTGAGAGCGAATCGGTGCTTGGTCCCGGAGCATCAGACGACGGTAGAGGCGGGCTAGAAGATGGCGACGGAGATGGAGCGTCAGGCTTCTTAGTTGGTGCAGGAGCCGGAACCTGAGCAGGAGGGGAAGCGAGAGGAGCTGGAGGAGGAGTCGCGACTGGAGGGGGAGTAGCCGGAGGTGGAGATGCGACGGGAGGAGGAGGAGATGCAGGTGGTGGAGAAGAGACTGGAGGAGGAGTAGCCGGTGGAGGAGAAGAGACTGGTGGTGGTGTAGCCGGAGGAGGTGCAGTGGTGACTGGAGGAGGTGCAGTAGTGACTGGAGGAGGAGAAGCGGTGACAGGTGGAGGTGCTGAGACCGGAGGAGGAGTTGAAGTAGTC